ATCTCACCGCATGATCAGCCATAATAGAGTCTATCCTCTCCAAGTAGTCCAACTTCATATCCGCCATTTGATCAGCGACAATATTCAACTGCATAGACATTCACCCACATTATTCACCAATGCATTTACTCACCTCCTCCTCATAATGAGCTCTAGCCTTCTCCTCCGCTTCAGCTTCTACTCCTTCTATTTCTTTCGCCACCTGCGCGGCCTCATCGAATCTCCTACCAGTCAAATCTACAATTTTCTTTACCAACTCCTCTGCTGAGAGACCTGAACGACTACGAATCAATCCATCGGAAGATCTACGCGAGCTCTCACCGCGACATTGACGTCGCTGTAATGCCATAACTCCTTCTCGTGTATCAAGATTCACAGGCTCCTCCTCTTCCTCCTTCTCGGGCGGCCCTCCCTCCACCGTGATGACAGCCGGGATGGTTTCCCTCTCCTCAACTGATACTCGATCATTTCCATTCTGCGCCACCTGATAGTAAGCGAATAATACAGAAAACTATTTACACGAATAATGTGATGGACAAAATTTCAACATCACTTGAAGATACTTACGAGGGAGTTTCACCCGTTTTTCGTGAAGTGGCGTAATACTCTATGGAAAACGCGATCTCCCCCATATGCAGCAGTCGTGAAATATATTTTTCACTAATGTTTTTCATATCACTAGGGTGAAAATCCAATATACTCCATTTCTACACAAGGGTCAACTCAGCCAGTAGACGTCACATAAGCGGCCACGTCCTGTGACACTGCTGGAAGTGAAGTCACCAAATTCGAAGAGGCTACGATAGTCGTTGAGGATCGCGAATACACTAAAGTAGTGATATTATACTCAGCATATAGAGTACACTCTACTCACAGAGAATTATAGCATATTTATGATACACGCAGAAGACTGAGTCACAATTTGAAGACGAAATTGATATACAGTGTAATAACGTCTTAAACGGCGATAGATTCTCGCTCGGTGACTGAGGGAAGCTTCCGCGGTGCTTCGTCTTTTTGGGCGCTCACACCCCTCAGTGCACGGAGCTCGTTTGCTTTCGTCGCTTCCCCACTGCTTCAACTGGTCGAACTTTGATTTCTATATTATATAACTGATTTCCGAAGAGGAATTTTGATAGGAACAAGACTTGTCCAACAAGTCTCAACGACTAAGCAAACTCACCCTTTGAATGGAAGTGATATAGATAGTAATACCGCGAA